TCTTCCAGACCAGAAGCAGAAGAAGCAACTGCCTCAACTACTTCACAAGTTGCTACTTTACAGGTTGTTACTCCAATTATTCATCAGGAACCTAAAGTAACAACACCATCTCCAAAGAAATCTGGTCTTTTTGGATTCAATTTCTCTAGTCTCAGGAAGAAGAGAATGCGATCTCTATCCTCCTCCAGCTCTGTGTAGAGAAGTATATGATGTACCTATCCAAACCATTAATGCAAGTATAGTTGTAATTTGATAGGGAAAGTATTGTGAGGAAAATAGCTTGCATCTGTAAATCATTGACTAATAAAAATGGTCAATTCTTTGAATTTTTTTTCCTGGCATTTCTTTTAAACGTTGGCAGAAACGGCGGTGACACATAATCACAGTATGAATATGATAAGAATCGATTCAATAAAAATTTAAAATACTATAGAAATAATCCATAGAATCTCAGATCTATAGAAATATCATTTTGCGGCATGAAGGCTCCATCTTTCAACACCTGAAGCCATTGTTATAGAAAGAAGATCTCTAAATTCGCCTGTTGCAAAATTAGGCGAGTTTGAAGTCAAAAAGAGACATATTTTGAAGTATCTTGTCGGTTTCCTGAAGAAGCATGAAATGTTCATTTCTGTCAATGATTCTGAGCACGCTAGTGCTGCGAAAGTCGAGTACTCTGAGGAACACAATATAGTTTTCCCCAACACTTTGGACATAGATGAGAACATAGAAGAGCACACGCTATGAGAGATGTTTTATTACAATCCTGAAACAGTCAAAAGCATTCCAAGTTCCTTGTGAGTTCTTGATATGCTAAAGATAAACCAAAGCATATCCAAAGATTCAAACTTCCCTGCAAGCGAAAGTGACGACTCCCTTATGGACTGTCGTGCTTGGATAATCTGGCTTTGAAAACGTCATCTTTGAGAGTGATTCTAACTCTCTAGTGCACGGATTAAAAATCCTAAAGACTGGCCAAATACTCTACAATCATACACAAGTGAAACTCTAGGTACTGCAAGGAGTTTGAAGTCTCTTTTTAACTTTAAAACTGAGACACAGAAATATGTGCAATAGTTGACAAGGAGAAACTCACTGTAAAAACCGGCTTGTAAGAACCTTAACTAACCAAGATCACTTTCTGAGTTTCCGGTCAAATACGTAAAAATTTAAATTTCTTTTATTTATATGTACAAAACAGATATTAGTCACTAAATGATGACCAAAAAATATAAAGTTACCTAACGAAAAAATCTAGCAAACCCATAAACAAAAAAGAATACGATACCTACCCATGGAAATCTTAAAACAAGGGACAAAAACCCAGCAACAAAGCTCACTATACTCTCTCCCATCGACAAATCTGTTCTTGAAGAAGTTTCATTACAGTTACCTTCAATAACGACATGGTTTGGTTCCTCGTACACCAAACTTAAACCACAGTTCACAATCTCACCTGCTCCATCTCTCACTTTGAATTCGACTGAAGCCTCTGGAGGAACACATTCACGATGGTCTTGCGAATGCAACAGCGACCCTTCTAGATGTTTTGTTATGTGTGACGAACTGATGTAACCGATAAACACATGCTCCGAATCAATCTTGCGCGGTTCGATCCAACCTCCACCGAGAATGCAACTGAAACTTATGCATGTCTCAGTTTTGTTTTTGAACTCATAAGTGCATTCTATTGAGAAACGGTTGATTTCAACTTGAGGGCAAGGGAATGCAACAACAGCACATAGAACTATTGTTGAAAGCCTCTTGTCACACCGATGCGGCGGGAACTCCAGCTTTAACTTGGATCCGGTTCTGCGATGTTTGAACCATGAAGGTACTTCGCTTCCTGGAAAGGAAGTGATGAGGAAAGGTTCTGAAACATTTCCCTGCAAAAGTATAACACAAAAACAGAGAAAAATCATGAACTGTTGTTAAAGAGATTCAATTAGATAAAGAGAGAGGAATGAGACCTCTTTATAGCATCTAGCTACATCTAGCTGGCTTTTCCTTTGAGCATACGATGTGATGCTATTCTTTGCAACTTCTTCCAGGTTGTTGCAGTTGGTGAAAATGAATTTAGACTGAACCTGCTCCATATGCTTAAGAACAGCCATAGGCGACGCGACTTTTTTTAGCTTCTCGCAGCCATGTGCATCTAAGATCTCTAAATTTGGCGGAAGCAAAGGGATTGATGTAAGATTCTTGCAGTGCTTCAGGTCAAGATTTTTCAGTTGATGTAGTCGACTGATGTCGATTTGCAGATTGCTAATCATATCGCTCCCGCTTAAGCATAGACGTCGCAATGAGGATAAGTCTTCCACTTTTGAGCTGTTGAACTGCAATATCTGCGGCATGTCTGTAATTTTTGTCCCATCAAGCAATAAAATCTGCAAACATTTCAAGTTTTCAATGGTAATTGGGAAAGATTCGAGATTTGAACAACCAGATAGCACCAGTTCTTGCAGAGCTTTCAGCTTCCCCAGGCATTCTGGAACTGCCCTCAACCTTTTGCAGTCTTTCAAGTTCAATACAATCAGTCTCTGGAGCTTCCCCATGTTTGTAGGAAGTTGAACAATTGCTGTTCCATCTAAGTGTAGCGTTTCTAGATTATCCGCAGTCACCTGAAACTCTTGAAGGCTTGAGCAGTTGGTGAGGATGAGAGTTTTCAAAGATCTCAGATTGATACTTGGGAAAACCAGGAGACTCGTGCATCCTCTCATGTTGAGGAAAACAAGACTTTTCATGCGTTTCATGTTCTTGGGCAACACCTGCAAACTCGTGCAACCTTCAAGACTCAATCTTTGGAGACTTTTAGCATTTAGAAACCCTGACAGATTGCATAACATGCTTGAGTAGCTAAGATCAACCCACTTTAACTTCGGTGTATTCTACAATCAAAAGTCACAAAAACTAAGCAAGTCTACTCTAGTAAGCTAATATAAGCATAACAGTGAAAACTAATTTAAATAGAGACACACCTTAACACCAACCCAGACCTCTTCAATCTTGCTGTAAGGCAGGCTAAGGTCGGTAAGATTCTTGGGGTTGAAGTCTTCTGGAAGGTTCTTCTCAGGGAATTTCAGCCAGTGGAGATACCGGATCTCATCCAAAGCAAGAAACTCAAGTCCATCAGGGATGTTTAGTTTGTAGTCAGCTTTGCATTCCCGATGACAACGAGAATTGTAGAATTTGAGGTACCTAAGATTACGCATCTTAGTGAAGGTACATCTGTCCAGAAGAAGTTCATCCTTCAGTTCAGACATGTCGATAAAAATACCTCTCACACAGTCTGCTCCCTGCATGATCAGTTAAAGACAATAAGTTAGTAAGTTGAAGTTGCTTAAACAGTCAAGTGCTAAGTGAGTTTAATTCTAGTTTATCATAAAAGGATAACTCCAAATTTTGCTACAGTCGATATCAAACAGTTTGAAGGTTTATCTTACCGCTGTTTTCTTCAGCGCACCAACAAAGCCTCTATGGTTCCATACCCTACACGACTCTTGTGAACCAAGTTCCTGGCCAAATGTATACAGCAAATCGTGCATCTCCACTCGTCCACCAGAAATGTTTATCAAGAATTTACTGGCAAGATCCTTTATTTCACTCACAGCATCAATGGACTTATTTTCACAAGACTCCACTACAGACCTCACGTAATACTCGTCCCCTGATCTAAAGAAACACGCTACGTCGAGAAACACATCTTTTTGATGCACACCTAGTTCATCGTAGCTTATCTGCAAGACACCTTGTATCTTCTCATTGGGACTTTCTGCAAGCTTGCGAAGTGTCTCTTTCCAGTAAGTCTCGGTTTTTCCGTTAAGCTCCCCACCCAATATCTTGAGAACGAATGGATTTCCTTTGGCATAATCCGCAAACTCTTTAGAAAGATTCATGAAATTTCCCTTCAGATTACCACTAGAGGCATAATAGCTGAAGCACTGCAAGCTGTCTCTGCCACTCAATCTCCGGACCTCATATGTTTCATCAACCTTGCCTTCGATCACCGACATGTCACTTGTCGTGATAATGATTAAGCTACCCTTCTTAATCCAGTCGCGTTCGCCAAGAAGAACCTCTATCTGTTTCTTGTCACTCACATTATCAAGAACAACAAGACATTTCTTATCGTGTAGGTGTTTCTTCAAGACTTGAGGGGACATGTAAGGGACTTGTTGGATCACATCTTCCTTCCTCAACAACTCTCTCGTGAGAATGCTCCGATCCATTGTGCCCTTTGTACACATTTCACGGACATCTGGAAGAAAAGCTTTGTGCGCGAACTTGAGTTCAAACCTTTCATACAGCTTCTCCGTCAAGGTGGTCTTACCAATACCAGGCATCCCAACAACACCAATGGTAAAAGTACGGTCGCAGTCAGAATCTAACATCTCTTTAAAGTGCTTAATATGTGTTTCTATGCCAAACAGAGAAGGAGCCGAGTCAAGAGCAGCCATGGATACAGCCACCGTTTCTTCATCTGCTGGACCATGATTTTCAATGGGAATTCCTCTTTCCAGATCTGACGAAACTGCAACATGAGTTAGCTGTTTCGTCACTTCCCCAACAATTTTAATGATGTAATCACTTTCATTGCTGCAACAAAAGTGAAAAAGAAAGAAACAATCAGAAACCAAACAAAGTTATGTCACTTTGGCAATGTAAGATCTAGGTACCTCGTTTCGTTTAAAACGTAGCCCATCTTCTCTGGGACATGCTCTAAAGCTTTTTTCCACTTAACGAGCTTTTCACTATGATTCTTAACCAATTCCCAAAACTTTTCACCGAACTCTCCGTTCTGGTTTTTGACATGGTCCGTATCCACCTTGTAGAAGATCGGAATGACCACAAGTGTGCCTAAGTCAACGCACTCCATGATCTTATCGAGCTCGTCTAAACACCAATCTGATTCCGTATACATGTTCGAGAAGATCGCGAGAGCGATTTTTGACTCCTCGATTCTATCAAAGAGAACGGTGAGATCGTTACCTCTAGTTTCGTGTTCGTCGATATAGACGTTGATTCCCTCCCTTTTCAAATCCCTCACCAGATGGCTAACGAAACCGTACCGAATTTGTTCTCCTCGAAAATTGACAAAGACTTGATTGTACGGCGGCGATTGGACGGAGAAAGAAGAAGAAGAAGAGGAGGCCACCATTGTTTTGCTTTGGAAGCATTAATGTTTTTTTTGCATGTAAGAGAGAAGATCATTGATTAGTGAGGGGGAAGGTGGACATTATTATACTCCCTTTGTTTCCACCTTTTTACATTAAAAAATATATATTTGTTTTGGTGAGACGAAGCTTTGTTCCCTCTCTATTGCAGCATTTCTCTGATAATGGAGTCAACGAATGTTCCTTGTACCTCTTTGATAATCTTTTCTGCTCACAAATCTCTTTGAAAACCTTGATCCTTGCGTAATTCTAATGGATTCTTCGCTTATCTACGCTGCTGCGAACTTCACGATTTTGGGTACGATATTGTTTTTGGTGTATAAAAAATTCAGATCCAATCCACAAAACAATATAATGGCTTCTTCTTCTTCACTTTCTCTACCTCCTCCATCCGATGTCTTCCTCAACTTCCACGGGCCAGATGTTGGCAGAGGCTTTCTCAGTCGCATTATGAAGGAGTTCAGAAGCAAAGGAACCACCCCGTTCATTGACAATGAAATCAAGATCGGTCCCGAGGTCATAGATTCTATCAGAGGATCGAGAATCGCGATTGTCATGCTCTCAAGGAACTACGCTTCCTCGTCGTGGTGCCTCGACGAGCTGGTGGAGATTATCAAGTGCAGTGAAGAATTGGGTCAAGTAGTGGTGCCCATCTTTTATCAAGTGGATTCGATTGATGTAAAGAAGCAGACCGGAGATTTTGGGAATGTCTTCAGAGAAACCTGTAATGGTACAACAGAGGATAATATCGAGAACTGGAGCCAGGCTTTGYCSAGAGTGGCTACAATCGCTGGTTACCATTCACGAAACTGATAACACCACTTGCATGTTCTTAATCTATCTTTAAGACTTCATATTTTCTTAAAATGGATGTTTTTMATCCTCCCCTTTCTTAGGGTTGATGAAATGGCTTTGTTTGAAGAAATAGCCACTCATATTGCAAACATTTTGAAGTCAAATACAGATTCCTTAGGTGATGATGATACAGAAAGATGGAGAAGCCAAATACCCGATTCACACGATGGTGAATCGATTCAGAGAATCCTAGAGTATCTTGCAAAAGGTTCCTCGGAAGTGAGACAAGAGCGTATCATCACAAATTATAATATAAAGGCATGTGGGATCCGATACATTTTCCTTCATTGCCATTGCCTTGACCTCCACATATTTCAATTCATTTGATAACTAACCATCTAACAGTCACTTCTTTGGGTCCTTTCTGTAGGAAGTTTTATATACAAGTGAAAGAGCTTTCAAAGACACTGTATGTATCTACTGCGAAGATAGATTACAATACTCCTTCGCCAGCCACCTCTCCATAAATTTCCGCCGGAAGTGCATTGATGCATTTGTAAGTTGCAATGAGACTCTGGATGTGATCGAGGGAGCTAGCGCTGCTGTTGTGGTTTTCTCCAAGAGCTGCTTGTCCTCCACCCCATGTCTGAACAAGCTCATGAGCGTTCTTCAGTGGCGGAGGAGAACCGGCCTGCTGGTGGTTCCAGTGTTCTATGGCATTAGTTCATCAGATGTGGTCGTGCAGGAGCACGAGTCAGCTGATAGGATAAGAGTATGGAATAGAGCGCTCCAAGAGCTGAGAGAATTACCAGGCCACCACTCTAGGTAATTGTGTATAGATTAGTCTCTACTATGTAGCTTGCAGTTTTAGAAGAATGTTATTTCTTCTACAAAATGCTTTCCACCTATCAAACCTTAATTACACCACAAAGAAAAATCGCCTAAAGCAAAAATGGTTTTATAGGGAGGTAATTGTGTTATGATTGTAGATTGAACAACAGGGTTCACAAAATTGTGCGGCAATTGATCAAAAACAGTTTTGCTTTTCAGTTTTCATTAAAGATTTTTCCAACAATTCATTTTATGTTTTTTCATAATGCAAACAGGGAGAAATGGAGTGACTGCGAGCTTGTGGATGAGATTATCAAAGATGTGTACGAAAAACTCTTTCCCACTCAACAAATTGGAATCAACTCAAGACTGCTGGAGATAGAACAGTTACTTTGCAAGCAACCATGGGGTATCCGTCGCATAGGAATTTGGGGTATGCCTGGGATAGGCAAGACGACACTTGCTAAAGCAGTTTTTGAACAGATCTCTGGAGGCTATGAGGCTTCATGCTTCATCAAACACTTTGACGAAGCTTTCCAGGAGAAGGGACTTCACCGTTTATTGGAGGAACATTTTGGGGGATTTTTTAAGGAATTGCCTCATGTATGTAGTAGCATTACAAGACCTAGCCTCCCCGACGACATATTAAGCAAGAAGAGAACTCTTGTTGTTCTTGATGATGTCCACAATCCTTTAGTTGCCGAGTCTTTTCTCAGGGGGTTTCATTGGTTTGGCCCAGGAAGCTTAATCATCATAACTTCCAGAGATAAACAAGTGTTCCGTCTTTGTCAGATCAATCATGTGTACGAGGTTGAGAGCTTAAATGAGAAAGAAGCGCTGCAGCTATTCACACAGTGTGTTGGAAAAGATATAAGAGAACAGGATCTCCTTGAACTATCAATGGAAGTGATTGACTATGCTAATGGAAATCCATTAGCTCTCAGCTTTTATGGCAAAGAGCTTAAGGGAAAGAAACTGTCAGAAATGGAGACCTTATTCCTCAAATTTAAGCTACGTACTCCATATAAGATTCATGATTTATTCAACAGCAGTTACAAAACACTTACTGACAGCGTGAAGAACATTTTTCTCGACATTTCTTGTTTCTTTGTGGGAGAAGATGTTGAATATGTGACGCAACTACTTGAGGGTTGTGGTGTTTTTCCACATGTTGGGATTGATGTTCTTCTGGAGAAGTGTTTGGTGACAATTACAGAAAACAGAGTGAAAATGCATAGAATAATCCAAGACTTTGGCCGAGAATTAATCAACAGAGAAACAATACTAATCGAGAGGCGTCGCAGACTGTGGGAACCTTGGACTATCAAATTTCTACTTGAAGATGGCAAACTTGAAGCAAACGAAGATCCCAAAGTAATATCTACACGTGCTCTGGTCTGCCATATTACGATATTTGTATACACAACTTAGGTACTTTTGGATGAGCCAACATCTTAATCGATTTTGCTTCCCTTATATTTCAGGGCACTGAAGACATAGAAGGCATATATCTAGACACATCGAATTTACCCTTTGATGTGAAGCCCACTGCTTTTGAAAATATGCTTAACCTCAGGCTCCTGAAGATTTACTGTTCCAATTATGAAAACCTTTATGGACTCGGCCTTCCAAAAGGACTTCAGTCTCTGCCTTGTGAGTTAAGACTCCTTCACTGGGAGAACTATCCTTTGCAATCCTTGCCACAAGACTTTGACCCAAGCCACCTTGTTGAACTCAATATGTCTTACAGTCATCTTCAGAAACTTTGGAGAGGTTCCAAGGTAAGCAAACTCCTATCCGCTCACATATACCTTTTTATC